ATCTAATGGTCGCAGAAGAGAAATGATTGGAAGAGAATCGATAAAGGTGGGCTAAATGTTTCCTGACCAAGAAACTGACGCGTTTGTTGGCCCTTTTTGCAAGAATCGAACGCTCTTGTTGTTGAGATTCCTGGATAATTGCGAACTCACCTTAGTTTGAGGGTACTGAAAAAGCTCAAAAACGTTATCACAAGAAGTGATTTTGTACGGTACTGTGTCCCATATTTTGAGCCATACTTCAACATGATCTTTTCAGCCACCGCTTTCCACCTCCGCAGTGGTTCACATTCATATCGCTGATGTCAACGACAATGCTCCGTCGTGTACCTCGGTGACGTCAATGCTGGTGCCATTCGACTCTGCACCGTTCACAACTGTCGGCACTGTGGTGATCACCGATCCTGATAACGGTTCAAATGGTACCGTAGTCTACCGTAGCCAGCAATCTCATCCGCTGTTCGTCGTCAAAAGCAATGGTTAGTGGTATGCTTCTATGACAGCTGTAGAGATGAAATGTATGGGAGGGTGGAGGATGGAGTAGAGAAGAAGGAAACGTAATAGTTGATCCTCTTTTTCTCCATATTTGGCTTGATGTTTCCAAGGCGCTCAACGGTTTTGTGTTGATTTGCAGGCGATGTACAGCTCCGTCGTGCTCTGGCCGACTCCGATCCCACCGATGTTCGCCTGTCGATCATCGCTTCCGATCAGGGCGTGCCACGAAAGTCTACAGTGTGCCATGTGCAGATAAAGATCGGTCGCGGCTCGTCCACAGTAAAAATCATCGAGCCGTTCGAGCGGTAGGTTGAAACTCTCTCAATCTTCCTTCCTAATGCTGAGTTCCTAGAGGAGGTGGCTCCATGGGTACTGTTGGAATCCAAACCCTCTTATAAAGTTGATAGGTGACTTCATTCTTGTCATTTTTGGCTTAACTGAATGGTGGAGCCACAAAAAGAGAAGTAGAAAACGGTCTTAAGAAAGGAAGTTGAGAAAAATGATCAATTTTCAGGAATATTCGCATGCCAAACGGTTGCCTGACGTCAGGCTGTACTCTTCGACAATTCAATGCAACTGGGGTGTCCAAATGGCAAATTCAAAGCAACGGTACGATTAGTTCTACACCTGAACAAAGTCCAAGACCGATGTCAGACTTTGCGAATGGAGCGATTCGCTAGCGTCCGCGGTCGCGTCGCGTTTAGCGAATCGGCTTGATTCGCAAAGTCTGACAGCGGCGAGAACGATCAATCAATTGTTTCTCCTCTCTATACCCTGATCTCTTAAACGAATAGAGGCCTAATTCTTGGTCTCTGTTCACAAGGGCTAGTGGCCCAACCGTTTGAAGCTCTACCATTCCGCTGCGCAGAGCTGTGGGATTTCAATTTGTGGAACATGAACGACTAGATTTCCTTCGAACAGCGCTGCATTAATCAGTGATGGTTAAGACCACCACCGTCCCTCCTTCATAGGTCCCCTGCTTATCGGTTAAACTGCCCCGACGCTGATAGCAGCGGACGAATCCCAAGGCGTTTGGCAATACTGATTTACCAAAATAATTATCCAGGAGAAAGCCTTTTGTTGCCAGCTTTAGGCGATGGATATATGCTAATCTCAGCATTCATAACGATTGCATGGCCGCAGTCGGAATGCCAACATGAACAATGAACGCCGATGCGGTCTGAGCGTCTACTCTCCTCGTCCTCTGCTATCCCTCGTCCTCTTGTTAAGTCTCAATTCAGCACGTTTTTCTCCGTCGTTATACATGGGCAGACGTGTTCTTTCGTTACATAGGCTTTTACAATACCAGAATAGACCTTATCAATGCCGTCTCAAGCGGTTCCTGCTGTTTTTTCTTGGCTGGTGGATTGCATAACGCTGAAAAGATCATTTTTGGATCCCAACCAACGCTTCGTCGATCCGAAATGTGTTTCTTACCGACGTTTTTTTCTGTATATATCACACATATAAATTTATTGCATCTACAGGGTTTATTGATGTTTCATTTAGATGTGTCCAATCACTTCTCAATCGTCGATGGTAAACTTTCGATGATGTCTCCCCCAAGTCAACCGCCTCCCTGGTCGCTTTCACTGATCCTCTCTGACAAGGACGGACGCCAGAAACATGTCTCGATCCGAGTACTGGAGCCGAATTCGATTGTAGGGCTTTCACAAATCTTTCTGCCTGATTATTTATGTCTGATCGTTAATGCACCTAAGGAAAGCTCATTAGATTAGTTTTCGTACTGGTTGGTTAGGGTAAAGGTAAGGTAGATGATCAAGAAGATCTTATTCTAGTTATCGCTAGCTTGTTCTTACTGAAATAGCTGAATCAGGTCGGGAAATGATGTTGAATGAGGAGATGAGCCCTACTTAGTGCAATGAATGCTTTCATGATCAAATGGGATTTGTATGAACCCTTTGATCTTTCAATCACTGTTATCATTCTGATCGATGCAGATGGCATGGCGCAACTTGAGTGTGCTGATTACGTCAACGAAAATGAATGGATGATAAGAGAGGCATTGATGGATTTTAATATTCTTCCGTTAAGGCACCTGCTGATCCTGTGAAGCTGTCTCCATTGCTGCCTATTGGTTCAAAAGTTGCCAGTTTGGCTTCGAAAACCAAGTCGAAGAATGGCCCACCCTACTATTATACGCTGAAAAATGAGGTAGCCCCTTAAATTTCACTTTTTTGAAATCACCTTCTCAAAGTTACAGCAGCAGACCTCACGTTGTGCAAGAACAGTTTCTCTGCCACTGCGAACTTGTCGTAATTGCAGACTTAGTGACAGCATCAAATACACAAGCATATTAATTTTTGAAGCTGCTGTAAAATTCACTGCTGTGTCTGCATTTACGACATGCACGGCGACGCGAAACAAACTACGATACTCACTTAGTAATTTCAGTC